ATTACAGATTGTCAACTGCTAAGTAACTCTTTTATAGCCTTCTCACAACTTAATATTGTGAGTCACTTTTTAATCAACCTTCAGCTATTCAGAAATGAAGGAAGTCAGCAGTGTACCAAGAATAACAGGGCTTCTTGGCTCTTTTTAGGAATTTTATTTTTTTATTTTTTGGCTAAACTATTTATTTTTTATTTTTTATTAAGTCAAATACACATAGATCATGAATACATTCTAGGAATTTTATTTTAAGCTGTCTCCCTTTGATAAAAAAAAAAATCTCATTTGTCTCTTCTGCTACCACAAAGGGGAGATTCTAAACTGTGTCCTGGGAGGTGGGTATCTTCTTGTGTCTTTGTCCTTCTGCTCTATTTTACCAGTTACTGAGTAGGAGTGTTGGGCATGGCTGTTTGTATCCTGTATCATGAAAGCCACAAATATATGTCTGCAAATAGAAAATTATTATTATTTTATATATATATATATTTTTTTTTTTTTTTTGAGACAGTCTCACTGTGTCACCCTTGGTAGAGTGCCATGGCGTCACAGCTTTAGCAACCTCCAACTCTTGGGCTTATAAAATTATTTTTGAAACCACATTTAGTTCCTTTTGTTCACATCCTCTTCAGTCCTCAGAACACAATTCTGCCTCACAGAGTGTCCCTGTAGCTTTCAGTGGGAGAGAAAGAGCAGGAATTAGTGAAGATCCCGACTTAACTGTGTGCACTACAGCAGTAGATGTTTAATTTTCTGTAATGTTTCTGTGCAGTATCAGAACTGTGAGTGTGTGGTACTGAAAGCACAGCAGACACACCACCTCAACTCTGCTGTCATGGAGGGACAGCAGCCATCCGCAACACCTCAACAAAAGGTCCTGCTGGTGTGCCAATAAAACTTTATTTACACAAGCAAATGGTAGGCCAGAGTTTACCAACCCCTGACCTATAACAACTAATTCTGCAAAATCTGGTTTCTTTCTTTTTTAAAAAATTTTTTTATTCTTTGTTATTAAATCATAACTTTGTACACTGACGCATTTATGGGGTTTCATCTTCTGTAAAATGTGGGAACGGAATGTACTAGTATGACTGTCTGACTTTATAGAGTTCTTGTAAGGACAAAATTAGATGATACATGAGAGGTTTTATGATGTTTAGGCCCTGTGCCATGGTATTTCTAATAATTATGGATATAATGTCTTACTCATTTTTCCAACTTTTATTTATTTGCTTGTTTTTTGAGTAAAATACACTGTAAGATAATCGAGCATCAGAGTTCTATCACAGACGTATAGTGTCTAACCCAGAGCTGGGCACACGCTGGGTGCTCAGGGAACACTTGCTGAGTGATGAAATAGGTCTCTTGAGCAAAGATAAACTCCTCATCATTTTTAGGTTTTTTCCACTTAAATTATGTAATCACAGTTGCTGTGAGTTCATTAAGCATATTTTTAGTACGTACCCATAATACATTAGTGTATAAAGCAGTATTTACTAAGTACTGACAGGTGAGTGGATCTAGCCCGTGCTGGTGTGACGGAGCCATCATTCCTTCAGAAGTGCTTCTGTGAGTTCTGGTTTTCAATGCTGTGACCTTCAGAGGACCACCACAGTAGACATCCGCCCTACAATTGGGCATGAGCTTTTCTTTCTATGGAGCAGGTGTTTATTTGTGTCTCTTTGGACTTGGGCTTGAACTTTAACATGGAGCATGCTTAGAAGCCAGGCAGAACTGGAGAAAGGGTAGCTGGACAAGCTCTGGGATCCCGAGCCTGTGCTATAGGGTCATGGCCAGTCTGACTTTGAAATACCTTCACCCTGTACAGTTTTTGCACTTGGCCACTTGTTTCCCTTGAGAAGATAGTGCAGTTTGATGGGACCTCAAAGGTACGCAGGGAACTTTCCAGCATGGACTAGCAGCTGCCTTTCCTGTGGACAGTTTGGGGCAGTAGGTAGCTCAGGGTATCCTCTACCAACAAATGAAATGCTGCCCATGAGGCGAGGATGTGGGGGTCACTTGTAGCAGTGTGTGGCATGTAGCCGGACAATTCAGGGACAGAAGGGTGTAGTATGCAAGGTTTTAAACGCAAGATAACCTTCAGAACGCAAGATAACAAAATGGTTCCATTCTTGATTTGAAGGTCCAGGAGCGTTTGTTGCTCTGGTTATTTCAGGAACATTTGTTGCCGTGGTTATTTCTTTTTTTTTTTTTTTTTTTTTTTTTTGAGACAGAGCCTCAAGCCGTCCCCCTGGGTAGAGTGCCGTGGCACCACAGCCCACAGCAAC